CTTGGAGGTCTCGGCCCCGGAACCCACGTGGCTTTGTCCCTCTGCCAGTACCTTCATGTGTGCGGAGAGTGGTCTCAGCATGGTGGTGGCTGGTCCTGGAGGTCTTCGGCTGCCGGAGCCCTGGTCGGGGCGGGGAGGAAAGCTCAACCCGCTACCCTCCAAGGGGCTCCGGGAAGGGACACCCAGGCGCGGGGCAGAAGACTGCCGAGTGCTCGAGAACAGATGACTTAAAGTTAAAGAAACTTTAGTACATCTACACAGTGGAATTCTATGCAGCTTTTAGGAAAGATGAAGTCATGAAATTTGCTTATAAGTGGATGGACATGGAGAGTATCATGCTAAGTGAAATGAGTCAGAAAAAGAGGGACAGACATAAAATGACTGCTTTTTATTTATTTTGGTTTTGGAGTCACATCTGACAGTGCTCAGGGACTACTCATAGCCCTGTGCTTGGCGATTGCTTCTAGTGATGCCCAGGGGACCAGTGGTTCCAGGGACTGGCCACAGGGCTCTTGCAGACAGAAGATGTGCTCCAGTCCTTTGAGTTATCATCCACATCTTCTTTCCAATAACGCCCTAGACTGGAAAATCCTCAAAGTTTTAAAATATGAATGAAGTGACATCATGTTGAATTTCCCTGAACATAATCTCTTGGACTCCACTATCAGAATTCCCTGTCATATATATTATTTTAAGTACTACTATTGATAGTGACAACAAACTGTGAACTCACACTTTATTCAAAGCACTCACATACTTTGGATATTTTAGTTGTTGTTTTTGGGTCATTCTTGGTGTAGGTATGACCCCCAAACATAATAGTAACATTATTGTAGTAAACAGTACTTACTCTGTACTCTGCACTCAGGGGTCACTCCTGGCAGTGTTCAGGGGCCCATTAGTGGTGCCAGGGATAGAACCCAGGTCTGCTGCATGCAAGGCAAGGACCTTATCTACTATACTATCTCCCTGGCCCCAAGGATTTTGTTTTAAGTGAAGGAAAAAAGAAGGAAGGCATTATTTAATTTTGGTTTTAGGGGAACATTTTGACATTGATTTGGGGGGAGGGTCTTCTGCTAACATTCCCAGAGTTAACTGAGCTTTCAGTAATTTGCTATTAGTACCGAGGATATTTGCTGAAGCAGCCGCTGATGAATATTTCATGATGCAGGAGGAAGATGGACGAAGTCTGGATGACTGCCAAGTCCCTGTCTCTTGATCAGTCATAGCTCAGCCCCATCCCACGTCTGCAGTGGGATGGCCTGAGGCTATCTCCACCTACCTTCCCCTCACATCCTTAAGCTCAGGGCTTGTGCAATGGAAGGAACTCGTTATTCCTCACACTCTTCCTGCTGGCTTCTTTGAGCCTGCCAACAGGTCCATCGATCCCTTTGCCCACATTCGAATTCTTCAATGCCAATAGGAGGAAAAACTCATGCCAAGTTGCTAACTCCCTGTCTGACACTGTGACGTCCAATGCCACGGAGACACCTGCATTCAGTCCTCACCCAAACACTGTCAGGGAAGTCCCAGCATGCTCATTGCTTTTCTTTGAGGTGGGGAAGCTGGAAAGACAGTACAGTGAGTGAGGTGCTCGCCTGCATGTGGCACACCCACGTTTGATCATTTGATTCGCTGCATGGGTCCCCTGAACACCCCCAGAAGTGATCTCTGAGCATAGAGTGAGGGCATAAGTCCTGAACATATCCAAGTAACACCCCCTAACAAACAAATGGGGAATCTGAGGGGCTAGGGATGGCTCCGTGGTAGAGTTAGAGCCCCAGCAGCACCCCCACACAGCTGTGTGCAATCTTTTGAGCTGCCCTTGTGAGATACAGGTCTGTGATCCTGAATATGTCACCACCACAAGGGGGATGGGGAGAATGTTTAAAAGGCCAAAGCACATGTGAATCATACATCTGTGACCCGGTAGGTTTCTCCTCTTCCTTCCCCTGCTCCCCCTCCTCCTCCTTCTCTTCTTCCTCCCTCTTTTTTCTTCTTCTGGGCTAGGGGACCATTTAAGGTACCAGTGGTGGGACCTATGTAGATCGCATGCAAGGCAAACACCCTACTGTACTATTGCTCTGGCATTTCACTGTATATTCTTTTGGGAGGAAGGCACATCCAGAGATGTGCAGGGCTTATTCCTGACTCAGCACTCAGGGATCACACCCTGGCAGGCTCAGGAGATGCTGGAGATTGAGTCCGGGTCTGCTGCATGCAAGGCGATCTCCCTACTTGCTGTGCCCTGATTACTGTATATTATTAGACTGTTACCTACTTGCTAGAATTCATCCCTGACCATCTGAATTGTAGTCCATGGCGCTGTGAGTGCAAACTGCTTTTATTTTCTGACTTTTTAACCACTTTATCATTTTAAGGTTCTGGTTCCAAACACAGTATTGAGCACAGTTGGTAAGAAACTATTTCGTGGATGAGATTTAAATATTCTTTTTTTTAAAAGAGTTTTTATAGTAATGAACTATTATAGCCTGCTTGGATCGGGGCTGAGCATCCTCCACCCAGATCCTCCAAATTCCAGTAGGCAGGGGTCACACCCACCAACTGGCACCCTGGCACTGTGTAATCCCATCAGCGGCCAAGACCCAGAGACTATAAGACCCAGCTCCCGGAAAACAACAGTGCAGAGTCTCCTGCCCCTGCACCTGGCTATCCTCACCAGGGCCCCTTGGAGGGGAGCGGGTTGAGTTTCCCTCCCCACCCCGACCAGGGCTCTAGCAGCCGAAGACGTCCAGAACCAGCCACCACCATGCTGAGACCACTCTCCACACGCATGAAGGTATCGGCAGAGGAACAAAGGCATGAGGGTCCCTCCCGGGGCTGAGATCTCCAAGCCTTCTCAGATCGGGGCTGAGCATCCTTCACCCAGATCCTCCAAATTCCAGTAGGCAGGGGTCACACCCACCAACTGGCCCCCTGGCACCGTGTAATCCCATCAGCGGTCAAGACCCAGAGACTATAAGACCCAGCTCCCGGAAGCGCGTGGCCACATTTGCAGCCGCACAACACCTTATTATCTCATTCTTACTTCAGACAAAATGGCAGGCTTCCGAATGTAACCTGCCCACATGGCAGAGTTTGGCAAACTCCCCATGGTGTACCCAATATACCAAATACCAGTAACAATGATGGGTCTCATTCTCCTAAACCTGGAAGAGCCTTTAATATGGCACCTTTTTAAAAAATCTCGGGCTAGGACAAAGGAGGCGTTACTGGGGCCTGCTCGAGGCAATCGATGAACAACAGGATGGTCGTGATCGTGATCGAACTATTATAAAAACTAAAGTTTTTAAAACTAAAAACTAAAAGTTTTTATAATAATGAACTTTTATAAAAACTATTATAAAGTACTAAAGAATTTTTTTCATCAGGAATTTAGCTCTATTCATCTCTATGTGTGTGGGTGTCACTACCTCCACAATAAATTTTTAAAAAGAATGTTTTTCATTCTGATTTGTTCATGCAAAATTGCTACGTGATTTCCCCTGCTATTGTTTTGAGACGGAAGAGGGCCACAGATGCGTAGTAAAAATAGGAAACTCATTTACTTACTGTACTTAGAATCTAAACAGATTCAAAACTGGCCCACGGAGATTGATAAATATTGGTTGTGATAAATTATTCCACTTACATCCCCACAAAAGCACTAAGAGAAAAAAAATAATAAAACCTAATTCATTTTGAAGAACCACCTTAAAAGTCAGAACAAATGGGAAAAAAAGAGAAATATTTAAAAACATGCTTAAAAAAAACTACATTGTATTTAGGGGGAAAATAAGAAAGACATTAAAATATTTTTTTAAAATGATAAAGTTTTGAGTTTTCCCCATTTGTTAAGTTCCTTTTGATATGCACGAGCCATCATCTTTTACTTAGGACAATGGCATGTGCTAATTTTCTCCATATGTGTTCACTTTGTCTTTGACCTTGAACAAATGGCCTCTAGGCAGCCCACTTCCCAACCAAGAACAACACCATGGAATCATTTTCTATGCACACAAAGGTTTGAAAGCTCCATAAAAATAAATGATCCATGGTACAAGATACATTAACCAGCAGAATAATAAGCTATTTTGGCCCCGTAAATTTTAACATCAGCAATCCAAACCCTGCATTTGGTCACTTTAGTATTAAATTCATTGGAACGAAATAGTAAATACACATGTTTTATTGCTTACGCTGTCCACTCTGTATTTTGTGTAAAAGTTTGTTAGCCTAGGAAAACCTATTCTAAGGCACATGAGGCAGTGCAATTTCAAAGCCGTGTCTCTTTCCAGTACACGATTTGATGTGTTACAGATACACTTACTATTAAGCATCATGTATATTTAATATCACAATGTCTACTTCAGGACCCTAAAAAGCCTTTGTTCTCTTTATAGTCCCCATTATTGAAAAGCCAACATTCAATTCTCCCACGATTTTGTAAAGTGCAGGCAACCCACAAGAGCTTCTTGTTTCAGCGAACAGCCCCTTCGAGACAACGATAATTGTTATGAAATCATTCATTCTACCTCTGCAGTTTCAACTGTCAGGTACACGTAACAATAATTGCAGTTAATGAATGCAGCTCAATTTATTAAGTGCAAAATGAAAACCAGTGTTCTTCTACATGCAGCTCTGAGACATATTAACATCTATCATTGTGTGGGCTGTGTTGAATATTCTACTGTCATTATTGGTCAGAGTATATAGTTAGATTTTAAAAGAAAGCCTTGTGATTCAAAAACAATATGGGAATTTATAACTCTAATTAAGGAGAAATTCAAAGGAGTAGTACCAAAATCATAGTTAGTAAGAATCCCTATCTGTGAGAAGCAATACAGCAGAACCAAGACTTTTTCCCTTCCCCTTTTTATTTATTTATTTTTTTATAAACTATATTCTTTCTTGGGACACTCTCCTCTTTTCTAATCCTTAAGAGTATGAAAAGTTCCCAAACTTCCAGTTACTTGAAATAATGATGTTTCTTTCTCAAAAATTTAGGCAGTGAAACTTCTGTGTCTAGAGATAAAATGTACTTCTTGCTTTAAAAAAGCAAGAACGAGAGCTCTTATTTTCAATCACTCAAAGTAAATGGCATAGACACTTGCAAGAGCAAAGAGAGAAGAATTTCTGAAAACATAAGATGAAAAGGTATCATTTTTAGAATCCCAGAGGCATCTGCTTCCAATCAGTATGCTCTGATTATCCAGTTGTCCAATGTGAACAGTCACAATTAGCTTATACCGTGGGATGGTCAAGTCCTTGACCCGGGCTTTAATAACCTAGATTGAAAAAAGAAAAAGCAAGTTTCTCACTTCACAATACTGAAATTTGAGTTTTGAATTTCTGTCATGAATACAGTGGATAACTTCAGAAAATAGCATCACACATTGTGAAGACTTTCTGTAAACGGTGTAGAATCATAACCATGATTTGCTTTTTTTACCATCCTCATGAGCAAGGACATTCAAGGACAAAATGATAGCATCAGCAATAAATGTATATTTTTCTAAGGTACAAGAAAAACAACCTAGGAATGTGAAAATTAACTCAGAGTTTGAAACTGAATGAATTTCTTCGTCTCTGAAAATATACGTGAGGGTGGATTCTCTTCAAAGTATGTTAACATTGAAATTAGACCATTAAGCTTACCTCTAATTAAGGAACCATAATCTGGAGTTTCCTGTAGCCTGGCTAATCATGAATGTTTATTAAATACTTTGATATAAACAAGACAGAATGGGAAACTTGCCAGCACTTTAGTTGATAAAAACAGAAATACATTTAAACATTAAAAGGCCATAATGTTATGGGTACTTAAGTAATCAGATAAGCTGCCTTGCTCATTAAAATACTGTACCCTTTACAATAGCACTGTGAAGTAGCACTGTCTCCCCATCGTTCGATTTACTCAAGTGGTCCCAATAACATCTCCATTGTGAGACTTATTACTGTGTTTGGCATATCGAATACATCACGGGTACCTTGCCAGGCTTTGCCACAGGTGAGATACTCTTGGTAGCTTGCCGAGCTCTCTAAGAGGGGCAGAGGAATCAAGCCTGGGTCAACTGGGTAGGCCGCATGCAAGGCAAATACCCTACCCACTGTGCTATAGCTCCAGCCCACCCTTTACAATATATTTTAAAAATTAATTGGGAAGTTCTATATTAAAAATTTTTTTTACAGAATAAGCTCAATGGTACACATGATTGTTTCAAAGACTACATATACAGAGATATGCCTGCACACCAATTATGAACCAATAAATCTCATAAAATATCAATAATATCAATAAATATCTTTACTGCTACTGCAAATTAATTGCTTTTATCAAAAGTTGGGAGCAGTGCATCCAAGAAAGTGTTCTAATTAAAGTTAACCTTGGACAAACCATATACATACCTCAGAAATCATTTTAGTCATCTGTCTACAGAATTCCGGTTCATAGTGCTTCTCTGTTAGGTAGTTGGTTAACACGTCTTTCAAAATATCGTTAACAACTGCAGTAGGAAAAAGTCTGGCAGGACCTGAAAATACAGATGAAATTCCTTTCTAAGAAGTAATTTTTAAAAATTTTTATTAGTGAAACACCATGAGGTACAGTTGTAGACTTACAAATTTTTGTGCTTGGGTTTCAGTTATACAATGATCCAATATCCATCCCTCCACCAGTGCCCATTCTCCATCATTTACATTTTTAAAAAATTTTTGTTATTGAAACACCATAAGGTACAGTTGTAGATTTACAAATTTTTGTGCTTGGGTTTCAATTGTACAATGATCAAACACCCATCCCTCCACCAGTGCCCATTTTCCACCACCACGGGTTCCAGTATCCCTCCCACCTCCCATCCCCGCATCCCACCCTGCCTCTCTGCCTCTGTGGCAGGGTATTCCCTTTTGTTCTCTCTCTCCTTTTGGGTGTTATGGTTTGCAAAAGAGGTATTGAGTGGCAATCATGTTTGGTCTATAGTCTACTTTCAGCATGCTTCTCCCATCCTGGGAGGATCCTCCCAACACCCTTTATTAGGTGCTCCTTTCTCTGTCTGAGCTCCCTTTTCCCCTAGAGTGTGTGACTGGCCTCCAAGCCATGGAGCAAAACTCCTGGTACTAATCTCGGCCCAATAACTCTTGGGTGTTAGTCTCCTATTTTGTTACTTTATGTTCCCCAGATGAATGCAATCTTTCTATGTCTATCCCTCTCTTTCTGATTCATTTCGCTTAACATGATACTTTCCATGTAGTACCACTTGTATGTAAATTTCATGACTTCATCTTTTCTAACAGCTACATAGTACTCCATTGTGTAGATGCACCAAAGTTTCTTCAACCAGTCATCTGTTCTCGGGCACTTGGGTTTTTTCCAGATTCTGGCTATTGTAAAGAGTGCTGCAATGAACAAACAAGTGCAGATGTCACTTTGACTGTACTTTTTTGCCTCTCTGGGCCTAAGAAGTAATTTTGAATTCTCTCTGCCTACCCAGAAGCTAATCAAGAGTTCTGAAATATGGAGAGATGTTTAGTCTTTGGGGAGGAACCTCTCTTTAAGAAGAAAAGGATTTCTAATGAGGTTTCCCGTCAGGTTCTAGGGCAGCGAAGTCAAAAGCCTCTCCAATTACCAGAATGTGTTCAGGACCACTGGGACTTGACTTTGAAAGGATCATTCTTTCCTGGTCCTTACTATGAATGACTTAACTTCAAAGTCTCTGCATCCTTCAAAGTGTCTCCCTGCCCCCCAACCCCCCAGTTCTCGAATCTTCCCCCTTCAAACTGTTGGTTACATCATAGCTTGGAGGGGTGGCTTTAAACTCCAGCTAGATAGTCTCTTCAAAGAGGTGTGAGATTGGGCTCCTGGTCAAGCCATAGCCTCTTAACCATCACCACAGTTCCCTGTCTGCCTGTGGTTCCAGGTTCAGTCACTTCTCCTGTCTTTTAAAGGCATATATATATATATATATATATATATATATATATATATTTGTGCTTTCTCTTTTATTTAAATAAACACTGCTACCCTCCACATCTCAAATGCTGCCTTTCTCTTCTCCTTAGGGAAAATCGGATTCTTTGACTCTGTACTCCTAAGGCATTGGGGCCCCACCACTATTCCAACTTCCTAATAAAAGTATAACATCATTCCCCCCAGTGAGATGATAAACAAGATCAGAGTGTCCTCATGGTATAGAGCCTTATACCATGCCCAGGGCAGAAGAAATATTTCACATATGTTTTCAGAATTCAAATGAAGGCAAACATTTTGTAGGTAATCCTCAGGGAAGAGATAATGGCTACTACTATTGAGCATTTTCCACATGTGAGAGGTTTATATGGAGCGATAGCACAGCGGGTAGGGCGTTTGCCTTGCCAGCCCACATGGCCAACCCGAGTTCGATTCCTCCACCCCTCTCGGAGAGCCCAGCAAGCTACTGAGAGTATCTCACCCACACGGCAAAGCCTGGCAAGCTACCCGTGATGTATTCGATATGCCAAACACAGTAACAAGTCTCACAATGTTACTGGGCCCGCTCGAGCAAATCGATGAACAATGGGAGGACCTTATAGGAACCTCCAATACATCTCTAAGGTGACTATTCTGGTTATCTACATCTCGCAGATGGGAAAAGAGACATTTATATGCATCAAGTAATATGAATAACATGGTGGCAAGGGCTGAGATGCATGCTCGGGTTGATCTGCCTCTATTCTTTTTTAAATTATTAATAGTGTTTTCTGGGCTGGAGCGATAGCACAGCAGTAGGGCATTTGCCTTGCACGCAGCCAACATGGCCGACCCGAGTTCGATTCCTCCGCCCCTCTCGGAGAGCCCGGCAAGCTACCGAGAGTATCTCGCCCTCACGGCAGGGCCTGGCAAGTTACCCGTGACGTATTCGATATGCCAAACACAGTAACAACAAAGTCTCCAATGGAGACATTACTGGGCCCGCTTGAGCAAATCGATGATCAACGGGAGGGCCTTTACTTTACTTACTTTAATAGTGTTTTCTAAAAATTTAGTGACATGATTTACAATACTGTTAATAGTGGTGTTTCACGGATACCATGTTTAAACACTACACCTTCCACCATGGCCTGTGTTCTCCTCTACCTTCCCCCCGCCCCCAACATCTCCCTTTTCTGTGGGAAGTTCAGCTCTGTAGAACCATTTCTCAGGTTCTATTTCCTTTGGGCATTTGTTATTTCCTTATTATGTTTGTATCCCATATATGAAAGAGATCATTCTGGCTAACTTCACTATGCCTGACATTCTCCAGATCTATCCATGTAGCAGCAAATTGTAGGTTTCGTCTTCTTAGAGCTGAATAATATATACCATAGGTTCTTCTGTTTTAGTGAAGTAAGACCAATTTATTTGAAGAAATTTACTTAGATAAACATGAGGGATGAGAAAGGAAGAGAGATACGTATTCAAGAGAGAACACAGGTTTCCCCAGAGTGGAAAAATCCTTTACCACATTTTTTTTTTAATCCAGTCATCTGTTCTTGGACCTGTGGTTTGTTTCCAGATTTGGGCTATTTTGAAGAGTGCTGGGATAAACTCAGGAGCTTAGGTCTCTTTTGGAACAGGATTTTGGGGCCCTTGAGGTAGGTACTCAGAATTGAGGATTATTGGATCAATTGAAGCTCAATTAGTTGTTAGAGAAGTGTTCAGATTGTTTTCCAAAATGGTTGAGCCAGATAATATTTCTACCAGCAGGGGATGAGACTCCCTTCTCCCCCACACCCACGGCAACATGGATTGTATTTTTAACCATATTAGTCCCTGCCCAGAGCAGAAAGATCAGATGAACCAGAAGCTGCCACACACAGATGCTTTATCACTTAGCCATCCTGGGGGCCGCTCAGCATCCCAATCTTTTCCTTACACCCCAGGAATCTTTCTGAACCTCCCAGAAGCCTCATCATCTTTCTAGTGACATGCCCATGTCATTGCACAACACACAGGTATGTCTGGGATTTGGCATACAAGAGACTCAATCGTTATTTGCCAGATTGATGTGGATGAAGGAACATGTTCAAGATTTATAGCCAATTCTATTTTAACCACCACCAGTATCTTTTAAGTGTTTATTTTTATGACTGTATCAGTCAGGGTCTAAGGAGACATATGGTATACTAAAGTTAGAATAATTCCAAGAAGGCCCAATCAGGAGACTTCAGAAGGACTAGATGGAAAAATGAGGAATAATAATATCGCACCCCTGAGCTACTGAAAGCCAGGATGTCATTGCCAGCACACCCCAGGCTTCAGGAATCTGAGAAGGGAACTCTCCGAAGCAACTTGAGAGCCTCTGTGCCCCTGTGTCCTTCTGTTGATGAGTCTAAGGAACCTGAAATGAACCCAGGGGCAGGAACAGGGGAGAACAGACCCTGGCTCACACTCCCGCTCCTCACTTCCTGCTAATACTCCAATTGGTTTGAGTAGCATCATGGGAAGTTGTGTGTTTTTTTTTTTTTTTGCCATACCTGGAGATGCTCAGGGGTGATTCCTTGCTCTGCACTCGGGAGTTACTCCTGGTGGTGTTCAGGAGACCATGTGGAATGATGGGGTTCAAGCTGGATCAGTCACATGCAAGGCAAGTGTACCTGATAGTACCTGCTGTACTATCTCCCCAGTCCCTCCATAGTGTTCTTTTTTTTCAATTTTGAGAAGTATACAGCAATCATTCAGTTGAATTAAGATCCAGGAGAGGAATGAACAGCACGCAATGCCAAGACAGCTAATAGAATGCTTTGGAGTGTCCATTTGCATGTTTTGGCACAGGAATCTTTGTTCCACAAGTGTCCTTTAGCATTTTGACACCAACGAGCTAGCATCTGTTCTGCAAACTCCCCCTCAGATAAGCAGTTGTAACCAAGATGGTGGACCAGGGGCCTCCAACCCTTCTCTGGCTATGCACTGGCATAGGTCCATGATGCAGGAGCTGAACACCTCTGCTCTACAGGCCAGTACAAGCGTTTACACGGGGAACCTTCATTGTTTTTGATTCGTGGGGCTAGGAAGAGGGTGTCAGGCCATAGAAGAGCAGGCTCAGGTACTCAGGCCTCTGTGGCATTCTCCTGGGCTACTGTTGGTTAATTTTCACTACACACTATGTGAAATGAGGCTACATTGGAAGGTGATTTCCTCCTATTTAAGAAATTAATACTACCCAGGTGAGCTGCATGGAACAACTTCTGTCTTTAGATAAATTCCTTTCTCTTTTCACTCACTAGTACCATAAAAACCTCAAAGGTACTCTTCATAGACATCATTTATTCACACACACTCATACTCACAGTTGTATCACACACGTTGGCTGTGTGTGACAGGAATGGGGCCGCATCACTCCTACAGAAAACAGATTCTTCCAACCCTCCAAGTCTTTAGTTGTAACTTACTCCTAGGAGCTGTTCCCCTTCCTAATCGACCCATGGAGCAATTTTTCTTGGAGGGGGAATAGTGTTGGGTCACACCTGGTGATGCTTGGGGGATACTCCCATCTCTGTGCTCAAGAGTAGCTTCTCT